TTCCAAGGGAAGCGATTGCAGTTTAGTAGGTTACTCTGATTCTGATTTTGCTAGCTGCAAATCATATAGGAAAAGCACTAGTGGAACATGTCACTTATTTTCAAACTCTTTAATAAGTTGGCATAGCAAAAATCAAGTTTTTGTTGCTTTGTCAACTGCTGAAGCTGAATACGTTGCAGCCGGTAGCTGTTGTGCTCAGATCTTATGGCTGAAGCAACAATTACAAGACTACAATGTTCAATTAAAATGTATTCCAATCAAATGTGACAATACAAGTGCTATAAACCTCACTAAGAATCCAGTTTTACACTCACGCACTAAACACATAGAAATTAGACATCACTTTCTACGCGTTCATGTTGAAAAGGAGGATGTTACGTTTGAGCATGTTGATACTAAAAATCAACTTGCTGACATCTTTACAAAACCACTTGCAATGGGCCTCTTCTTCAACATCCGCCGTGAGCTAGGGATTTTAGATCTCTCATACGTGTTGTCCTAAACATATATGTAATTGAAATATATCTATGTCACACCATACTGTTAAGATGTGCTTTTTCAGCTTTAGTACGTGTGTTCACTTATCTAATCAAACGAGGTAATATCTTTCCTATCTTCACGCTCAATCACCTATAAGTTGATCTAAATGTTCACTGAAAATGTCTTCGTATATCTCTTTTCCATAAATTGTTTGAATTTGACATATGCAATTTACATCATATCATTTTGTTTCTTTCAAGTGCTTGTATAAATGCCTCTTTCAAACATTTTATCGTGCTTATGTAATCTAACTTTTTATATGCCAATGCATTACTTTTAACGTGATTACTTTATGTTTACTCTGCTATTTACTCACTTATTGATAACTTTATGCCTGACATTCTGTGTGAATGCCAAGTCCATTAACCGTTGAAATTGTATATAATTTTTCTTATGTGCTGAGTTTCTTAAAAATGTTGCTTATTCTCTTTTTGATATGGTCAAAGGGGGAGAAGAAGAGTGTGTCAGTGAAGATTGTGCTTGTATTAGGAAGAAGATACACAAACTCAGGGGGAGCAAGCTTTTTTCATTCACGATACAACATCAGATATTTGCCATCATCAAAAAGGGGGAGTTTGTGAGCAACCCTTTCATAGATTGATTTTGAATGATTGCAAATATAATATAACATGTTTGAATAAGCCAAAATTACATTTCTCTCATAATGCACCATTATGTGTCGACACATCAAGTTTTGTATCGATACATAGCTTTCTGAAGTCCCTGGACTTGTATCTCAAAACTATTATGTATCAATACAAAAGCTTATGAGTCGATACATAACTCTTTGATGATCTTGGAATGTAAATCTAAAAACTGCATGCATCAATACATAAATTTCATGCATCGACACATAATATTTTGATGCCCCTGTAATACTTGTATGAATTGACACAAAACCTTATGTATCGACACAAAACATTCTGATGACCTTGAAAAATGTTTTGAAACTTATATGTATTGATACATAATATCATGTGTCGAATCATACTATGTTTTAAATTCAAAAGTTAAATTTAGAATCAGTATGTATCGACACATACGCATTATGTATCGACACAAAACATTCTGATGATCCTTGAAAACATTTTGAAACTTATATGTATAATATCATGTGTCGACTCATACTATGTTTTAAATTCAAAATTTAAATTTACAATCAGTATGTATCGATACATACGCATTATGTGTCGACGGGTATAAAAGTGTTGATTTTGTAAAATGCTATAACAGGTTTTGTATCGACTCAAAACATAATGTATCGACTCATCCTGTTACATGTAACTAACATGAGTCGACACATGACCAACATGCATCGACTCATGCACTTTCTTTTTTGACTAACCGTTTTCTGTTATAAATATAAGCAAGCATTTCTTTAGAATATAAGATAGCAGCATAAAAGATTGTGTGCAAAACAATTGTGAGCAACCAGAAGCTTTTGATTCCTTCATCTTCATCATCTTCTCAACCATCTTACATTCAACAACAACAAAGAAAATCAAACATCCTTGTTGCATTGGATCAAGCGGTTTGAGATAACGTTCAGCTGAGTATTGAATAAGTCTAGCTGAGTTGAAGGTTGAAGAGGAAGCTTCAAGAAATAAACCAGAGGGTTTGTCCTTCAAGAACGGGTGTGTTCTTGAGGGTTTTGTTAGTCACGGTCGCGCGAGTCGGATTCAGCCGTAGTGAGGGGTTTGGAAATCGAAAGGATTTTGAACAAACAGGTCGTGGAAGTGGAGGATCGTTCAGTGACTTTGTAGGGAATCTTGATACAGCTCATATCAAGTGGTGGTTCTTACAAGAAGAAGAAGATCATAGGGATTTCTTGCTTTCTGTGTAGTGTAACCTTGCTATCAAACATTCAGCATATTGATATAAAAGTTCTCAGTTTCGATTGTGAAATTGAGAGGGAGACGTACCCACATGCGAGGGCGACAGTGGGGAACTACCTTACCAAACTGCCTGTGTATCGTTCTCTCTTTCTTTCTCTTTACAGTTTTACATATTCTATAATTTTGCAATCCAATTGGCGTGCTAAGTTTTACAGTCTAATGATAAACATAGTGGCTCAAACATTTTCACCAAACCACCACTATTAAATCATTATACAAGCATACGCCAATTGTTTGACAAAATTCCTATCATATTTCTAAATTCATTGGAAATTCTGTTTTATGATAAGTGCATTGAAACGTCAAGATTTCTGAGTTGTATATTCATCCATTCCATTCAATAAAAATCCAGCAAAGTTTTCACATGTCAAGCTTTCTAGTAGTCGGTTCAAAGTAGACAAAATTGATTTAGGACATTAATTTTCGCTGCTTTCAACTCTCTTTGATAAAACTATTTTAAATCCTTGAAAAAGAAGATGTGATCTATTCACCCCCCCCCCCCCCCCTCCCCTCCCCTCTCGATCACTTTCCACACCGTCTAACAGTAGGTTCTTACTCACAAACTAAAACTATTTTCGCACTCACACTTTCAAAACACCTTGAAAAACAAACATCTCTTTGAACTATTTTCAAAACCAACACTTTGTATACATTCTTATAAAGACGAGAAGCATTACAAAGTTTTCTGAAATAAAGGCGTTTTCAAAATACTTTCAAAAACCCACCACAAACACATTTCAAACAAAGCATTTTTTAAAGTGATCTAGCAAGCAACTAAGAGCCCGTAGATAACTACAGATGAAAAGGGTGCTAACACCTTCCCTTTTCATAACTTACCCCCCGAACTCAAGAAAATATCTCAAAAGATCTTTCATGTTCTTTTCACCCTTTCCTTTATTGAATAAAAGAAAAGTCGGTGGCAGCTCTTGCTATCCGCAACATTTACGATAAAACGCAAAACACTAAAGTCAGTTCTCCCATCGTGTAACAAATGTCATCTCATTGCAGTAAAGAGGATGTTGAGATACATAAAGGAAACTATTGATCATGGTGTGTTGTTACCAAAGAAATCAAAGAACAACTCAGATGTCGAAGTTCATGGATACACTGACTTAGATTTCAATGGAGATCAACACAAAAAGAAGAGTACTGCAAGATACATTTTCATGATCGAAAGAGCTCCAATCTCCTGGAGTTCGAGGAAGCAAAACATTGTGGCTTTGTCATCATGCGAAGCATAATATGTGACTGCATCATATGTTGCATGCCAAGCAGCATGGATCGAAATGCTACTTGAAGAATTCAGAATAATGGAATCGAAGATAAAGCTGTTTGTTGATAACAAGTCAGCTATAAACCTTGCGAATCACCCAGTGTGTCATGGTCGAAGTAAGCACATTGAAAGAAGGTATCATTTTCCGAGGGATCAAGTCAACAAAGGGAAGTTCGAAATAAAACATTGCAAGACAGAAGTGTAACTAGCTGACACATTCACCAAACCTCTGAAGAAAGTGAGGTTCGAAGAGTTAAAGAAAGGCATTGAGATGAAAAGTTTTGATAACATGAATTAGGGGGTGTGTTAGTTGATTAATTATTGTTATTTAGTTATTTGGACTTTTAATATATATTTGAGCCTTGACACTTTGTCTATATAAATGACCATTATGTTTGTAATAAAGTGTGCAGAAAATATAATACATTCAGTTAGAAAGTTAGTTATACTTAAGTAACTCACAATCCCTCTCTTCTCTTCTTTTTCTTGTTTTCTCAAAATCATCTTTATTGAATCTTTTGTTCCAACAATTTAGAACAATTGAAAGACATTATTGTTGAAAAGAAAATCAATACGTGAAGGTTTGCAGCATATCATAAAAAATAAGAGATACGATACTAATATTTGAAAATGAAATGAATGTTAAGCCGAATTTATAAATGTTGATGTCATTTTCAGTTGTAAATAAAATTAATGGCATCTGTGTAGTTAGTCACCTAGCTACCACCATTACCATTGAGAAAACCAGCATGATACGAAACTCATACAATTTTTGTAATTTAATATTCCCGGAGTCAAAAGCTTAGAAAATCAGAGCCATCGAATGACATGCTTTTCTGAAAATCCAACGATGAATATCTACTGAGTGGTAGTTGCAGCATCGTGTCAAGTTAGTGGAATCTAATCCTATTCCCTGTCATACTCACGAATCTTAATGCCGTTTCTAACCAACAACCACACATTTTCCTTACTTATTCCACCTAAATATCAATCAAATCATTAAATATATTCTCTGGTATCAGAGGAATTAGTCTCTACAATTGCGTGCAGAGGATATAGAACATGAGAAACTTAGTAGCTTTAACCAAAACTTGTCCATACAATATATCATATGATACTGTCCCACAAACATACCCTTCTCAAATATGAATCAAATTATTCCTTGATCACAAAACAAACCAACCAAACAACTTTGTCCTTAGGAAAACTTACAAGTTCCTAATATCTAGGACTTTCTGTTTCAACTCTGGGTCTCCTTTCTCAGGATCCTCCCATGCTACTACCATAGTACCATGTCAATGTTTCATTTGATGTACGGTATATGGTTAGTCCTGTGTATGAGATTTTGTATACTTGATGTTTCTACTTCATGTTATCCGTACCAGTTTTTCCGACAAACCAATAGAAAATTCGAGCAGAAAACTGATAGGTTTTGGAAGTTTAGTGAAATAGATGATAGATGGATTGAAGTCAAACTACCATGTGATTTGGTTCCTTGTGTTAATAAAAAGGAAGAAAGATTGGAGCAAGAAGATGAATTGGAAGTGATTCTGCCTTTGAGAAAGAGAATCTCTTTGACAAAAATTTCTGATACTTCGGTTTGGATCATTGGTGAAAGTGGATTTATCTATGAGAGGTTTTGGAATGGACTTGAATGGGTGATTGCTCCTCATGATTTACCTATTTCACACGGACGTGCAGTTGCAGTTTTTATCATTTCTCTGAAATTTCTTGCTCTATCTGAATCAGGAAATTTGTATCAGGTTATAAACTATACATCACTTTATACATAAGCACTTATATAATAAGTGCTTTTGATGTTAACTAACTATTATGTCTTTTGTTTGCCAGATGCATGTGCAGCTTGGTGAAAACTCGCAACCAGTTTGGATTGAATTCACACATACACTCGATCAAATCTCAGATACTGATTCAATATTCATAAAATCTGGTGTGGTGTCAGATGATAGGAAGTGAGTACCCACTTAAATTGACATTTCGGTAAATTCAACGACTCAGATCATTACTTATTGAAAAGTGCTTATCATAAGCTCTTATACTCAATAAGTTATTTGCATTTAGATATGATTGAATTCCATCATTGCTGAAACATGTTGATATCTCTTAATGCCTTGTATCTGTTTGTTGATTTGTCAACAGGAGAGGTTATTTCTGTACAAAGAAAGGAACGTTGATAGAGCTTGCAGAGGTTGAGCCTCCAAGGTAAAAATTCAAGTTTTGAAGCAAACATTCGTATTGAAGCTCAATAATACTAAGCCAATATTACTAATCCAGGCCTTATTTTGCCATACATATAGAACAGATGGATAAATCATGGCCAACCAGGTGGAGCAAATGTTGCAGCAATAGCCGATGTTGCTTCTTCACGAGAAGTAGTATACACGATAAGGTGTGTATTTGTGTGCGTGCGCGCGTAAAATGTTTGTGTTGATTGAAGATATAGAGAACAGAATTTAAATTTTTTGTTCATTTTTAATGTTATAAACTGCCATGTGGTGATGTAGTTCTGCTGGAGATCTTTATGAATACAACAGTAAATCGAAACCATCATGGAAGAAACACATATGGCAAGAAAAAAAGGCACAAGTTTCATCTTTGATACCGTCTAAGGGGTGCACTTTACATGGATTAATTGGTGATCATTCTGAATCACTGTTTCTTTTAACCAAGGTACTATAAATATAGGTATCAAAATTGCAAATATAAAGTAAAACCATAATATCAAATAGGAAATGTTTCAAGATTAAATGAACTTTGTAAATCACTTGTGTACTCTTGAGCATATGTAACTTACTATGAAGCATTGACACGTTGACACCGGTAATAATTTGAGAAAATAGAAAAATTGAGTGTAATCACATGTATCAGTGTCGTACACGTACCAGCACGTGTCGGACACCAGACTCTTCAATCTAAAGTATCAATACTACATAGGTAACTTGACATAACATAGAATTCAATTTTAATGGAGATATTTAAGAACTCATTGCTATCTATGTTGGACACCATTTTTTCTAAAATATTTGATGATTATATAGGAAGGCACTTTAGTGGAGAGAAGATTACATCAAAGGAAGTGGAAATGGATAGTCCATGGAAATCCACCCCATCAAAATTTGACATCTATTACACCATCTTTGAAAGACGATTCTAGTGAAACTTCCATTTCTTTATTCTTCACTACTTCTGTTGGATCTGTTTTTGAGTATCAAATTCCAAAACAATTAGGTCAGTCATCTAATTATGCATAACCTATTTAGCTTTATCCATGACAGATATACCTTTGGTGATGATATAAATACCTAGCTTTCACTTCATAAACTTCAAAATTTTATTAGAGAACAGTAGACACAATGTCTATAGCACTGTACCTAAGTTTTATTCTTCAAATTATTCATGACAATCTAGATAAATATTGAATTCTCACATGAACACAGGCACTTCTCCAAATAATCAATTTCCAGGAGGAGAATGGATAAGTCATCAGCACCCCTTACATGCAAAAGCGGCAAGAGGTAAACCAGGCTTACCATTACAAGTTGGAAGGATACTCTTTGTACTAAATGATGGTAGAGTTGCAGAGTTACATCTAGCAGGACTAGGTGGTGAGAGTGCAGGACCATCAATGCCACAAAACTTTAGAAGAAAAACATCACCAACCAAATATGTTTGGTCCATATTAGATGCACCAGAGAGTGAAGGATGGAATGCGGAATATTGCACAGAAGAACGCGGACCGCGGAATTGTATGACAGGTATAAAAGATGAGTCAAAAGACTCAGGAATCACGAGTTCAGTAACAGGTAGGAGAAAACAAAGCCAAGAATATCATTATTACTTATCTCCAGAAACAGGAAACGAACTGATTAGTTCCTTAGAAGAATACCAATACAATCTTCCTGATGATTGGATTAGTAGTAATTTTCGCCTGCGGTTGATGTATGAAGGCAAGTCATTTTTCTTGGTGACAAGTGATGGTTTGATTTTTGAACATGTTTGTATTGAGAGTGTTTGGATATGGCTGAAACACGATAGCTCTACCGAAATGAATGGTATAGTAGGGAACTATAATGGAAGTTTATTCATGGTTGATACTTTTGGGAGTGTGCTTCTTAGAGAATGGAGTGGAAATGAAATAGCATGGAAAAATTGCACTGATATGAGGAGAGGAAAAAATATTATTGTTGGAGGTCAACCATGGGATAGATTACCAGGTACAGCGAGGAGGGTTACTACTGAAGATTCACTCTTCTTTGTCAGCAAAAATGGAAGATTGATGCAGTTCACGGTAGGTAAACAGATATACGATGACAAATACTTGCAATGCAAGCTATCTAGTTTTTAGACATCAAATACAAATATACATGCTAGATATGCCAAAATCGAAAATTTAAATGTTTACATGTTTGACATAGGTTTACATGAGGAAATTCAAATGGAAGGATTGCAAAAATCCTCCAAATGTCAAAGTTGCAAACATAGTTGATCAGGAATTGTTCAGGGAGAACATAATCTTCGTCACTGGAAGAAACGGACGCCTATACCAATACAACAAAGTAAATGATTTATGGCATGAACATTACCAATCTCAGCATTTGATTCTATCAAATTTTCCTGGAACAGTTATAAGACCAATGTCAAAATCCCTCACAGGCTCGATCTTCATGCTTTCAAGAGATGGTGGATTAGTCGAGTACAACTGGAATACATGGCATGAATGGAACTGGATAGAACATGGAACACCTTATAAAGGTGTAACACTTGTTGGCTCACCTGGTCCTAGCTTTGAAGGGAATCAATTACTTTTGATTGGTTCAAATGGAAGAGTGTACCTTAGATATATGGAGAAAAATGCATGGAAATGGAAGGATTGTGGTTTTCCTACTTTAGGAGATAAAGTTATTGAAGCAGAAGATAGAGAAGGAGAATTCATTGATGAAGATACTAAAAAAGAGCAGGAGAATCTTGGTGAATTATCAATCTTGAATTGTGATCCTAAGGTAAGTGTTAGTTTGACTAAAAACAAAAATATATTTAATCTTAAAATTAATTGAATCTTATATACTACAGGTGAGATCTACAAGACCAATTCCATTTTCAGCTGATTCTGCCATATTTGAACTTAGAGATGGCAGGGTAAGAACCTTAGTTCATTGTGATTTTCAGCATAATTAATGTTACATTGAACTTTGAAAACGACAAATAAAAATTGATTTCTTCAACAAAGGTGACGATTAAAAATTAAGGAAGATAGTATAATGTGATATGAAATCATTATCTTGAAGAAGAATTACTAATGCTAAGTCAAAATTTGTTATAACTAACATAATTACTTGTGGCAGTTGGCAGAGATACAAATTGGAGAGGGGAGAGAATGGGTTTGGTCAAGGATCATTGGTACTCCAAATAGTTTATGCATACAAAATTATTGGATTACAGTGGCATCATCGCCATCATGAAATTGTTTACAATCTCTTATAAGAAAATGATGAGCCAGATAAACTTGATGACTTGATGTACAGTATATACAGTGTAGATTATGCTAACAAAGAAGAAAGAAAAGCACTAGTTATAGGTACAACAGGATGGAGCTGTGCCATCTCTTCACATGTAAAAATATGTAAAAAATGTAAAATCAGGCTGAGGATACAGCAACAACATATGAATAAGAATATGGCCTCTTCATAATCATGATATAGATGTATTATAAGATCATAGATGTGGGACCTTTTTCTTTTGTTATTAAACCCTTAGTTCTTAGGGTTGGGGTTTTGTTAATAAGGAGTTTTGTCAAGATAAATAAAATCTGATAAATGGTTGTTCTATTTATAATTTAAATTTGCATTTTGTCTTTATAATATTTCAGAAAATTGAAACTCTATACAAGAGCAATAAATTGACTCTTCAACTATTCATTTTACTATAAGACCATCATTAACTTTGCTATGACGTTGTATAATATAAGAGTCATTGTCAATTCGGATTGTTGCATACTTTGTAGATAACTCAATCTCATGTTGGAGCAACTTGAAAGAATACGGTGTGAGTGTAGATGTGGCATGCTCTTTAATAGAAAAACATATTATAATATGAGGATTATGATACTTTTGAAGCTGTTTTACCTCATCTCCAGCTTGATTTCTAATTTTGATGACAACACAACCACACATTTTAAAAAATACAACAATCGTGACTAAATTATAAATTAATTGGTTTAACAATTAATAAGGAAATCTTTGATAATCTAATTCACCTAATTGATACTTTAAAAAAATATATTAAGACTCTGAACTTGAAAATGGACTAAAGTGTCATCCAACCGCTTGAGTTAGGGGAGTGATCTAGGGTCATTACGTGATCTCTGGTCTCTTCTGAGGATTAGAGAGTTTCTCTTGTTCCAAATGTCTAAGGCTAAATGGTTAAACAAGGGAGATGTTAATACAAGTTTTTTCATGCATGTGTTAAAAGCATGAATATGAGAAACTTTATCTTGACCACCCGGAGACTCATGGTCAGAGGGAGTGGTTGAGATTAAGTTTGAGGGTGACTAGGTTTTTTACTCGGAAATTGTTGAAACCTATGATTGATTGTCCATAGTTGGATGGGTCAATTTTTTGTCTCTTTCTTCAACGGATAATCTCGCACTTAGCTCTCATTTTCTTCACATAGAGATTGATTTTGCGGTCTCCCAGTATGATGTAAATAAGAGCTCTGACTCTGATGGTTTTAACTTCTCCTTCTTTAAAAAAAAATTGGTCTTTGCTTCAAAGAGATCTCTTATTTATGTATGAGCTGTTTTACTGCATGATGACTCTCCCTTTTAATTTTTCCTCTTATTTTGTAACTTGTATCCTAAGGTGGATTCACCTACCAGTTTGGGATACTTTTTTTTTCTATTTCATTGGTCGAATATCTCTATAAATTGATGAAGAAGGTTTTAGCATCTAAATTAGTAAAAGTCATGGATAAGCTTATATCGTCTAACCAATGAACGTTTTTAAAAGGATGTCTTTTGGTTGATGGCGTTGTAGCTGCGAATGAGTCGGTTGACATTGTTGAGAAAACCAAGAAAGAGTGTCTTATTTTCAAAGTTGATTTTTAAAAAGTCTATGACTTTGTTAGATGGAGCATTTTGACTATATACTCGCTAGATTTGGTTTTTCTGATAAGTGGAATGCTTGGATGTGCCCTTGTGTTTTCTCTAGGAATATAGCTAGCTAATTTGGTTAATGGGTCACAATTTGAGGAGATCAATATCTAGAGGGGCTTGAAACAAATAGACTCGCTTGCCTCCTTTCTTTTTATGTTGGATATGGAGGGGCTTAGTGATCCTCTCAAGCAGACTGCGAGTCTTGACCTTTTTTCTGGTTTTAGAATTAGCTCCTCAGATTTAGTCATATTCCATCTTCAATATGTTGATGATACCATAATATTTTTTAGGCTTCAATGGAGAATCTCTAGACCATTAAAGTCGTTCTCAGAGTATTTGAGTTTGCCTTTTGTCTTAGGGTCAACTTTTCTAAAAGTAACCTTATCAGTATCAATGTGGACCATTCCTTTTGGACTTAGCTAGTGACTTCTTGGATTGCTACCACCAATTTCTCCCTTTCAAGTACCTTAGTCTTCTGGCATGGGTAAAGTCCTGCCTAGAGACTACATGGGGACCTCTTATTTTGACCATGTATATGTGTTTGTAGTCTTGGAAACATAGGTATGTTAGTCTAGGGGAAGAATGACTCTTCTTAATTTGGTCATGGATGTTATTTCCATTTTCTTCATGTCTTTCCTCAAGATGCATGTTAATGTGTGGAAGAGAATTTTCAAGTTTCAGAGAAGTTTTTGTGGGGTGGGGTATGAAGTAATTATAAGATCCTCTAGGTTAGATGGATGATGTGTGTAAACCTAAAAGGAGTAGTGGTCTTGGGGTTTGTGACCCCTAGCTTAGTTAATCCAAATCTTTTAGGTAAATGGTGGTGACGCTAGATTTTTGAGATCATTAATCTTTGGAGGGATATTTTGACTGCTAGATATGAGATTTGGGTTGCTCCTTTTTTCTAATGGGATAGGGTGTCTATCATACAACATGATTCTTCTTGGTGGAGATGGATTTCTCTCATTGATTCTAAAGCTACTGACATCTCTAATTGTTTTGTGGAAAGTTTGAGTCGTAAAATGGGTTCATATATGCTCACATATTTTTAGGATGATCCTTGGGTGAGACTCACTCCTCTTATAGTTACTTTGACAGATTTTTCCCTATCTCTAAGGAAAAAAAGAACAAGGTGGGTGAAATTGGTACCTGGGTTGATGGGGACATGGTCTAGAATTTACAATCATTTATTGAATTGATTATTTTTGATTATTTGTGTGATGTATGATGATATGTGGTGAGGCATTAGTGAGAGATAGGTGATGATTAGAATTATTTAGATTTAAATAATTTATTTATATTATTTAGAGTTATAATAATTAAATAGATATTAAGATGAAAAGAAGAATAAGGATATTATGGTAATAGTATGATGATAAGTGAGGACATAGGGGGAATAATATAGAAAAGATCCTAGGGATAACAAATAAAAAGAGAAAATAAGAGAGATAAGATTCATTTTGTACGATCATGGAATTTGAGAGAACGTGAAGAGAGACTAGGACTTACAGAGAACCAAGAGGAGAACCTTGTAGAACGCTGTAATGCGGTGGGAGAACTGACTTGGTTGGTTTGCGTTTGATCGCAATTGTGCGGATAGCAAGAGTCACCACCGACTTTTCTTTTATCCAATAAGGAAAGACTGAAAAGAACAGGAAAGACCTTTAGAGATGTTTTCTGAGTTCGGGGGATAGATTATGAAAAGGGAATGTATTAACACCCTTTTCATTTGTAGTTATCTACGGGCTCTTAGTTGCTTGCTAGAACTTGCTTTTATTTGAATGTGCTTGTGGTGTGGGTTTCGAAAGTATTTTTAAAATGTCTTTGTAATGGTTCTCGTTTCTATAAGAACGCGTACAAAGTGTTTGTTTTGAAAATAGTTCAAAGATGTGTTTGTGGAGTGTGTTTTTTTGAAAGTCTTCTTGGAAAGATGTTTTTGTAATGGTTTTCGTCTCTATAAGAACGTATACAAAAAGCTTTTTTCTTTTGAAAAGGGTTTAATATGAAAGTGTTGGTGTAAAATGTTTGGTTGTGAGCAAGTGAGCAACTAGGAGCGAATCTACCTACTCAGAAGGTCTTAAATGTTCTTTTCCTCCTCCTTTAGATGTTGTTATCTTACCATTGATTTGGTAAAGAGCTCCATCGTTGGATGTGAAGGGACAGGCGCGGGTCAATTGTATAGTCATAGAATGCAACTTATGAGATTCTCTAGCAATTTTTCATAAAGGACTAGATCATTTTATCAAAGGCAACATCGAGGGACATCGAGGGACTACGATCTTTTTTATTGAATGGTCTTTGCTAAAGCGTCCCATATTCGAGGGACATGACTGTGTTTTTGAGGCAACAGGCGAGGTTACCCTAGAGGTGCGCATGTGAAAAAGTGTGTTTGTTTCAAGTTATTTTGTCTTTGAAATTAGGTTATCTATCTATTGATTTTGAATCTTCTCATGTACGCCTAATTACTATACAGTATAAGGAAAACAGTAAATTGCGGGAATTAAAATTCTACGCTATTACAGAGCTTTCGGGAATGGGGGTACAAATTTACAAATGAGGGTGGATTAGTACAATTAAATGTCCAAATAGGCAAACAATACAACCAAATTGAATCGAGAAATTAATCGAAATTATAACAGTTTATGAAATAAAATTAATTGACAAAGTATGAAAATAAAAGTTCTTGATATTTTTGTTTGTTTGTGGGGAACTTGGAAAGAAAAAATAAAGAATCTATTTTTATTTGAATTTTATTATATATAGACTAAATATCTTTAAAAAGGAAGTTTATTGAACTATTGAAATAAATTGACAAAATTATTTACAAAGTCTTAAATTAACTAATTTTGAAGTTATATAACTTTTGTTTAATTTGAGTTTAAAGTCAAAACTAAAGGTTAAACCAATTTTGATATCTAAAGAAATCAAGAAAGATAGAAAACAAAACTAAAGTAAAAACTAAAAATTAAACTAATTGTTACCTAAAAGAAAAAATCAGAAAACTAGAAAACAAGCCTTAGGAAGAGTTGAACCCGGTTCCTCTAGGATAAAATCAATGAGGCCTTATCAACTGAGCTAGATTTTTTATCTGTTATTCTATGATTTAATTGAAATATAAAGTGAAAATTATAGTGTAATTGGGCCCAACAAGCCCAAAGGGCGACCCGGCTGGGAAGGGAAGAAGAAGGGTTTGAAAACCCTAAGCATAAGAAACGCGCCACATGGTTTGTTATTGGGAAAGACAAATAAGATTTAACTATTATTATTGTTTCCAATAAAATCTTATCTCTATGCTTACTGTAAAAAAGA